AATGTGATGTATACTAAAATGTCAGTGTGACACACTTTTGCTACTACCTAAACAGTTTGTGTTACAGATAAACAAAACAAACAAACAAACATTTTGATATTTTTCCAACTTCGTAAAATTGAAAACATAGGCCTGTTTTACTTCAATATTTAGAACCATTACTAATGTAATAAACTCTGTACAGCATAAGAAAAACTGCAACATTATAAACATATATAAAAAGGTTTCAAGGTTGTGTGTTTGTTATTTGTAGTGATGCAAATGTTTGCATCACAGGTTGTGCCGTAAACACTTTTTTATGTTGAGAATCAAAGTGACAGGGAGTTACACCAGACTGCACCTCACACTGATTTACAGCATTGCCATTTTGAGATCAGGTTATAATCGCAGAAGTGAGCCCACGAGAAGTGTGTAGGGAAACTGATAAAATGGTGGTCAGAACTTTATCATTTCATGATTTCATTTTTGAGGTCTTATGGAATTTGAGAAAATACCTTTAATTATCAAAACTTTTCCATATATCTACTGGATTTAAAATTATGGAGCCTGAGAAAAGAAATGGTGGTTTTGAGGACATGAGAGCCCTTAATTAAGTTTCTGTATAATCAATCCAGTTTCTCTGAGGTATGCAAAGCAGTGGGAACAGGAAGTATTTCGAAAAGAACATTTTATTCTATTCATCTTGTTTAAAATAATTTTAGAATAATGACCTTACAAAATAAAATAAAAATAAAATAAATAAATCCCTAAATAACACATTTGTGTGCTCGGCTGTGGCTATTTATAGCGCTCGTACCACTAATTCTAAATCTCACTCATCTCAGTCATAGTATATCACAAAATATTTTTTTAATGTTTGTTTTTCCTCTAAATAAGTTAAAAACTATGCCCATTTTTCCCCCCAAAATATGTTATCTTGATGGAGTTACGTGTCTGTCCTCTGCATTTGACACCATGCATCAACAATATAAAAAGTGATTTAAAAGAGGCCAATATAGCTCCAAAAAACATTTTATCATTCAATTTCCGTAACCGCTTTTCCTGTTAGGAGCCTGTCCCAGCTGACATTGGGCGAGAGGCAGGGTACACCCTAAACAGGTTGCCAGACTTTCGCAGGGCTGACACACAGAGACACACAACCATTCACACTCACATTCACACCTATGGGACATTTAGATCATCATCAGTTAACCTGCATGTCTTTGGACCGTGGAAGGAAGCTGGAGTAGGGCCTACCCTCGCTGACACAGGGAGGACATGTGCAATCTGCACAGAGGGGCTCCCTCACCCCATGGTTTAACCCCCCCCACCCTGGACTCGAACCACAAACCCTCTTGCTGAGAGGCGATGATGCTAACCACTGCACCACCCTGCAGCCAGGCCAAATTAAAAAACGAACAAACAAAAAAACAATCAAACATAAGTACATTAAAGAAGCAATAAGCGAAATTCATCAGTTCTAGATTGAAGGAATTAAAAAAATGCTATGTGAAGAACTATAGGTGTAATTTCATCTGGAGTATAGCATGACCTCACACACCTTCTGTCTGTGTTGATCTCCAGCCCACTGTTTACAAGCTGGTCGGGCTGCGCGTTCATGTAGGGTAGACTGAGTATAGTTGAGACATGTGTACAGTTGAAACACCCTAAATATCTTGCCTGCGCTACAAGCCTGAGCCGTGATTTTTACTCAGCACATGCGGATTAGCATCCTCTTTGGTGGTGGGACATTTGAAGAGTGTTAGCATTTCCAGTCTGAAGATATCAGCAAAAGTCTTTTTACTAAGGTAAGAATTTCACTTTACCATGTCCCTTCCACAATGAATAGCTTATTATCCTTTTGTGACCATCAAACATAACTTACATCATTGCAAACATTATTCTGTGCCCTAAAAACTCACATATTTCATGCTATCCTAGCATGTTAGGTCACTGCATAATCTAGAGAAATAAACAAGGTGGTTAGCGGGATACAGTTGAGACACAATGTCTCAACTGTACCCGTGATAGAATTCTATTACATCACATGCTGTTAAGTTGTGCAGCGTAAAGATAACAGGTTACAAGTCATAATAAGACAACAAACAAAGAAAATGAAAATAAAATTTAATATTTGTGATACTTGAACTGTGTTATATTAATGGACATCTTTTTAACCATGAATGATATAAGGATAATTTAGCGTGTGGTGTAATAGGCAAGGTGGTAGAACGGGTACAGTTGATACAGCCTTTATTGGATGTGTGTAGCCTAGCCTACTTCAGAGTTCAGAAATAAAAAGGCATGCAGTGTGTGTGTGTATGTTAGCTATGTTGTGTAGCCTGTATGGATTTTTTTGTTTATGTTTGTCTTCTTGTGCTATGCCTATTGCAGGATATCCCCGCTTCAGAGCTAGGACCACAAATAGGGGAGTGCCAGCACAGGTCTTGACATTTTAGGCATTGCTGGTGTTTTATTATTGCTTGTTTACAATAATATTCCATTGTTTTTAATTTCAATAAAGAGAAATGAATTTATATTGAAATATGTTGTCAAATTGTCATTTTTTTTAAAAGTTTATTGCATTTACAATTGATGTTCAGTCATCATCAATGGGTTTCAATAGGTGTCTCAACTGTACTATGGTACTGTCTCAACTATACACATATGGAGTATAGTTGAGACAGTACCATGGTAAAAATGCATGTTTATGACCTGATTGTGGAAAAAATAAACAACTTATAAATGATATTCATCAATAATAACAAATTAAACTGCATATGAAAAATCACTTATTTTCAATGTATAGTTTTTGTGCAATATCTGTTCAAAAATGGAGAAGCAAAAAGTATCTCAACTGTCTACCCTACATTCATGTGAATCCTCCCCCTCCCCATAGCCCTTGGCCCTCCTCCCGATAAAAGGCTACAGCCAGTGAGCAATGGCAGCGCGTATTTTCGAAGTGAAATGGTGGAGTCAAATGTCTGTTTTAATTAATGTTAGCTAGCTTCCCAGCTAACGTTAGCCCCGGCTCTCCGTTTGGATCCAACCGGAGCATCAAGCCCTGGTTTGTTATTCAGGTTAAAGTGGGAAGAAGCAGCGAGTATATCGGGCAGCTGAGTGAAGTGGAGCCTGCTGAAGAAACACCGGGACCGTCTGGATGTAATAGTCCATGGAGATGCTGCGGTGCTCGACTGCACAGACGAGGCGAGTGGGGTGGGGGGTGGAGAGCAGAGGTAGAGGGAGGAGTGGCTCATGACACACTTTGTTTTGGTCTGTAGGCAGTGCACAACCACAAACCTAGCCGTGAAACGATTTCGCTTTTTGCCCCTTTAAGTAAGAGCCACTAAGTAAGAGCCAATGATATGAATACACATAAGAAAATCCAATAACAACAAACATATTTTTTGGACCTATATTGACTTCTATAGAATCACTTTAATGTCGTTCATGCATAGTGTATACTGCAGTGGACAGACATGTACCTCCTTCAGTATAACATATACTGGAAAAAAAATGTAAATATAAAAATTAAAAACAGATTACTTTGTGATTGCTGGTAGTTGATGGTTGGCTTTCTTTGCCTTATTTCTACGGGTCTAATGAGTGGTGGAGCAAGCCAGGTCTGAAGCGATAGACTGTATACAAATAATGGATGTAGCCATGTGATGTCATTCATTGGTTTGTGGACTGACATTTTGAAGCCCCGAGTTCAGCATTTTGGCCGTCGCCATCTTGGATTTTTGAAGTCAGAAGTGATTGCATTTGAATGAGAGGGTGTAGCTGTGGAGGAGTGCGCAGTGGATTTGACTCATAGACTTCAGTGAAACCCCACAGACATCCCGTCACTCAAAGCAGCCACACCCTTAACTATGCTTAACTTTAGGCCTTAATAACATTTAAACAGGTGTTATATAAAAATTCACCCCCTGTATAGTTGTCCTAAAAGGGCGAAATTAGCTACAGGGACTAAACCGCTTTTTGTAACAGCCTGTAAACATGTTTATTTCTGCTGTAAATTTGGGCCTTTCAACATGGGGGTCTAAGGGGATTGACTTAATTCTGAAGCCAGCATCAAGTGGCCATTTGAGGATCTACAGTTTTTAGCACTTCCATGTTGGTTTCCTTTTTCAGCCCTGGAGATTGCTGCTTACTGATCATTTGTAGTTTTTGATGCAAATCCTATCATCCTAAGCTAATTTCATGACGTCATGACAGAGATCTTAACAGCATGCAACAGCTCTTGAAAAATAAAGTCAGTTTTTATGACAGAGATGTGACAGTAATTCCAGCCTTATATGTACCTCTCCAAAAGAGGTATCAGCCTGCTTGTGGCCATTCACTTTATAAGCTTTTGATTGTTTTAGTTTGAATGTTCATTTGTGCTCTATGTTTGTCTCATCATGTCAGTCTCACAGATAAAGCTAAGATTAGTTAAGTTAAGAACAGTTGTATTTGAGCAAAATATTAAAACAAACAAACAAAAAACCTCACTTTTGATCCTGCATACAGGGCGAAGTATTGAAGAACTCAGTTTCATAAAGGAGAAACTAATATATTGGCTTGCATGTGCACACACTTTGCACTTCTAGCACCTACACATCTACTAATCATTTGTAATCATGCTGTTGTTGTACTTTCACTCTTGAGAGGAGCGATTTGGGGTTGTGTGCCATCCTGTTTAATTGGTTTCAGAAAGGCTTTATATCTATTATAAATACCCACATCAGCAGTTAAGCTGTTCAGAGGAGGGGGGGGCGGGTATGTCAGAGTTTGGATACCTTGTCATTAAGTAACATCTTGTGTATTGAAATCTTTGCTTTTACTTCAGGTTGTTTTTTTCCTCCACAGGTGGATGTCTTCAGGTGAAAATATTAACCTTTTTTTACTGCACTGGGAGGGATTTTATCTTGTCTGACTTTTTATTTCAGGGAATGTTTTGGAGACACTGAATGCCTTGCCTATGAGAAAGCTGACTGAGTATATTGCACATATACAAAGTTTTCAAATCAGCTGCATCCATGTCTTGGTTCTCTTGGCTTTTCACTCTGTGGCCTTCTTCAGCCCCATCCCTGCTCCTTGTGGGGCTTGTGGGCAGACAGCTGGGGCTCAGCGTGGTAGTGGAGTGTGTTCAGACAGTGTCTTGTTCTCGGTGGGGAACACCCAGCAATCAGGGTCTGTTCCAGGATGGAGATGTAGTTATCGGTGGGCTCTTTACTATTCATTACCAACCTCCAGCTATAGACAACGACTTCACTCAGCTGCCACACTACAAACCTTGCATTGGGTAAAACTCTGAACTGTACTATGCACTGTAATTACTGTAGAATGGCAATGAATGTATAACTATCATTAGAATCTCTGCATGTTGGGTCTTTCAGATATGACAGAATGTAAAATTCTAGATTAATACCAGTAGCTTCACAGAATAAATCAGAATTTTTGACTAATACTTCTCTCATGTCTTCTCTCCTGTGATCTCAGATTAGAACAAGTTCCACTGCAATATATACATGCTATGGTGTTTGCGGTGGAGGAAATCAATCGTAGCACAATGCTGCTACCAGGTGTGAAGCTGGGGTACCATATTTTGGATAGCTGTGGCCGACCGCCATGGGCTCTCCAGGCAGCACTGTCACTGGTTGGGGGAGACAGCCCCAGCTGTAATTCAGCAGACCCTCCAGACTATTCTGCTGAGTATGGAGAGGGAATTGGAGAAGGGAGAGGTAGCATATTTGTCATACTCTGTCCATTGCATAACCAAATGAAATCAAGACAGCAAAACAATGCTGTACTTAAAAGGACATGTTTGGCTGTGTAAATGTTATTTTTCATGTAACATCTTGTAATGCTGTCATTATGTGATCACCCAGTTCCCTTGATCATCGGTGGTGCTTCATCCGTAACAGGCCAGATACTGTCCAGGATCCTGGGCCCACTCTCTGTATCTTTGGTAAGTTATGTTTTATATACTGTGCTGGGACTTTTTTTCTCCTTTTTTTTCATAAAACCTGGTGTCATCTTTAACTTAAGCTCTTTAACGCGAGTCACCATTTTTGTTTTGCTCCCTGGGAGAGGACTTCATTTTAACACGAAAGTGCAGAGAAAAGTTTCCTCTTAGGGCAGGAAAATAACCTTTAGAAATCAGTTTTTAAAACATTTGCTTCTTTTAAGTATATGTGGTGTATTTTAATGAAAATAACAAATTATGTAATTTTTTTTTTGTACATTTTAGATCAGCTACTTGTCGAGCTGCCCCTGTCTCAGTGACAGGCGTCAATTTCCTAACTTCTTCAGGACCATCCCCAGTGATATTTACCAAGCCCGGGCCATTGCCCAGCTTGCCATACACTTCAACTGGACCTGGATTGGGGCAGTGGTAGCAAACAATAATTATGGCCACATGGCAGTAAAGGTGTCTCTATGTATTTGTTACGTAGATAGATAACATTATATAGTATATGGAAAATGTATATTCATAAATACTGTATTTTAATGCTTTTCATTCATCTAATCATTTTGCTCCTTTCAACTGTCAGGTATTTCAGGAGGAAACTCAGGGGAAAGGGGTGTGTCTGGCATTCATAGAGACTCTCCAAAGGGAAAACATTGTGAGTGATGCCAGACGAGCAGCACTCACAATTCAGGCCTCAACTGCAAAAGTGATTCTGATCTTTACCTGGTACACAGATGTGAGGGAACTGTTCCTGCAACTTGCCAAGATAAATGTGAGAAGCTGAAATAAGGTTATGTACTGAATTAAGTAAATGCAATGCAGAACTGAGGCATTTTATTTTCTAAACATTATGGCTCACAATTAAATTTTGACTAGATTGTGATCTTGTCCTCCTGCTGTAACTAGGTGACTGACAGACAGTTTCTGGCAAGTGAAGCTTGGAGCACCAGTGATGATCTTCTCCAAGATCTTGCCATCTCTGAAGTGGCAAGTGGTGTTCTAGGTGTGGCCATTCGTAGCTCAACGATACCTGGATTTGAAAGTTATTTTAATATTTTGTACCCATTTCATCGTCCAGATGATGAATTCTTTCGAGAATTTTGGGAAATGGAGTTTGAATGCAGTCCTGGAGCTACGCAAGAACAAGCTTCTCTAGCCCCTTGCAGTGGCACTGAGTCCCTGGTGGGAGTTCAGAATCACTTCACTGACACCTCCCAGCTGCGGGTGACATATAATGTCTACCTTGCTGTTTATGCTGCAGCCCACGCCCTTCACAGTCTTCTGTCCTGCCCTGACAGAGACAGTTCTTCCAGAAACAACAGCTCCACCTGCTCCTCTCCAAAACATATCAAACCCAAAGAGGTAAGCATGATAATCAGCCTTGCTTTTCAACAACCTATACTTGGCTATGTCAAATTACCATGAGAATAATGCCCTAAAAACACATCAGTCATAAGCATCATTTTACACAGGCTCTGTCGGTTACAGTATGAACAATTTCCCTATTTTGATGATTTCAGCTGTTGCAGCACTTGAACCACATAAATTTCACCACACCACAGGGTGAAATGTTTTACTTCCAAGGTGCCGACATTCCAGCAAAGTATGACCTTGTTAACTGGCAGAGCACCCCCAAGGGTTCACAAAAACTTGTTTTGATTGGTCGTGTGGATGGTTTTGACCTCCACCTCAGTGAGTCAGCTATTCAGTGGAGCACAGGATCAAGTCAGGTATCAAACAGGAAAACAATGTTGATTCAATAACAAATTTCTACATATTGAATTTGTGTTGTTAACACACATTTATTTTTATCACTGAGAATATTTGTTGGCTTATTCTTCAGGTGCCTATTTCAGTGTGCAGTGAGAGCTGTCCCCCAGGCACCCGCAAGGCCAATAGGAAAGGAGAACCTCTCTGCTGCTTTGACTGTATCCCATGTGCTGAAGGGGAGATAAGCAAAACAAAAGGTGAGGAAATCAAAATCTAGAACACCAGCAACTCCTGTCCCCGAGCTTCCAAAATGCAGCAACCCTGACTCCTAAGTCTGTCTGCTTTAAGTTCATCTCTATTTTTCAACCTTTTGTATTACCCTGCCTTCCCCTCTTTTCTCTTCCAGGCTCCCTTCACTGTGAGCGTTGTCCATTAGAGTTTTGGTCCAATGCTGAACAAACTGCCTGCATCCCTCGCCAGCTGGACTTCCTTTCCTTTAATGAAACTTTGGGCATTACCCTGACTACTGCAGCTGTGTCTGGTGCTGCCATTACAACAGCTGTGTTTGTGGTGTTTCTCTGCCACCGTCAAACACCTCTGGTGAGAACCTAGAATATTGTGAAAACACCAATACCGTACATTTCCAACAAACTGTCATTGTTGTGCAGTTGCAATTGCTTATGATTAGTTTGAATAATTTCCTGTTTGGCTGTTATGGGCTTGGCCTTATTTTCATCTTTACATTTGCAGGTTCGAGCCAACAATTCAGAACTGAGCTTTCTGCTACTCCTGTCACTAAAGCTCTGCTTCCTGTGCTCACTGGTGTTCATTGGTCGTCCATCAGTCTGGTCTTGTCGGTTCCAGCAGGCAGCTTTTGGGATCAGCTTTGTACTTTGTGTTTCCTGCCTCCAAGTGAAGACTATAGTTGTACTTGCAGCGTTCCGTTCAGCTCGGCCTGGTGCTGAAGCTTTGATTAGGTGGTTTGGACCAGGCCAGCAGAGAGGAAGTGTCTGCCTTCTTACTTGTATACAGGTACTACGGATATGCTTTTTATTCAAAGAATATAATAATACTGGTACACTATGTTTTACATTATTTTGAATACATTTTATTTTCATCCAGATTATCATCTGTGCCATATGGTTGTCCCTCAGCCCCCCGGTGCCTCAACGTGATCTGGGTTTTCAAGGGTCAAAGGTCACCCTGGGGTGTGCCATGGCATCTGTGGTGGGCTTCTCTCTGGTTCTGGGTTACATTGGTCTGCTGGCCTGCACCAGTCTCCTCCTGGCCTTTCTTGCTCGGAAACTCCCTGACAATTTCAATGAGGCCAAACTGATCACCTTCAGCATGCTGATATTCTGTGCTGTCTGGGTGGCCTTTGTCCCTGCTTACATTAGCTCTCCTGGGAAATATACTGTTGCTGTGGAGATTTTTGCAATCCTGGCCTCTAGCTATGGTTTACTGGTCTGCATCTTTGCCCCCAAATGTTTTATCATTCTCTTAAGGCCTGAGAAAAATACTAAAAAACATCTGATGGCAAGGTAACATAGATAATGAACAATGCACACATTTGAGTTGATCAGATATGATATCCTCTTGATTTCTTTTCTGTTTGCATGCATTTATTACATTTATTCAGTATTGTATCTTAAAAATAAAGAACTTACATCATAGATTTGATTTTCCAGAAAATCCAGGAAATGATGATGCATTCATTATTGTTTCTAATAGTGTATCAACTTTAGATTGCCTAACGGCCCTATCCATAATTATGAAAGATACTGAACATTTGACCAAAAAAAAAAAAAAAAGTAAAAGTTCTCAAATTTTTATTAAAAATCTAAGAGTGAAATCCACCTGTCCTGTCTTGTGTTATTTTTTTGTATGGAGTTCTGATGTTTTAAGATTATACTATGGATGTACATTCAAGGTTTTTACCAATGGAATGAATCATTATCTGTAACTGATACCTCCATACATTGTTGTGAAGTAATTGTGATCAATATAAGGAAGGCATGAGAGCTCATTGAACTGCAACAAAAGAAAATACATGCAGGCACAACAAATACAATGAAATATGGAAGCATTGCAAATTACACAGAACAAAACAGAGTAGAGTTAAAACTCAAAACAAGTTTCCTGGGGATATCTGGGAAGAAAAAAACCCCCACATGCAAATAGTTTTTTTTTTTTTTCATTTGACAACATGGAAAACACAACCATACATAGAAATGCACTGGAAAAAAATAATTAGAAAACATTAGCAAGTAAAGAAACTCTGCAAATTCAGAGACCAAACAGAACTGAGTTACAAAGGTATTAAAAAAACAACAACTAATGAGCACGTATGGACATGTGGCATTTTGCCATGGTTTGTGACTAATGGAGACTGTATATAACCAACCTTGTAGAGCTGGAGATACACTTTATAAACATGAACCTGCATAGACAACCGGCTGCACCATAAATGGAATTGTTCACATACTTGCCACATGTGTTACTGGAGGATTCCACTAGAGGGCACACCAGAGAACTCAGACAGTGTAAAACCTAAGATTTTAATAATAAACACAGCAAGACTCAAGGAGATCATGGTATTGTTAGTTCTGAGATCATGGCAGAAAAAGTGACTGTGTTGCCATTGTAGATGGTATGTAAGGCCCCTAAATCAAGCATGTTTTAACAATGGTGAGTATGTTTCTGTTGTTCTGCTGATGTGAGAAATTGATGATTAGAAACACCACCAGGACAATTTGCTCCATCAGATTAGCCCCTTGATGATAGCCCACAACACACACAGTGAGACAGTTAGGTTAGCAGAGCGGCTTGCCATCACTATCCGGCTTCAGCAACAGACATCAGCTACCACGCCTTGTCACCATACTGCTCCTCCATTGCCCTTACTGTCTATGTCTATCTTGCATTCATTTAGTGTTTCAGAGGACTTACACAACCAACAATCCAAAAAGAAAAGGTGGTCACTGACCCCCATCATGACAGTAATCAAATACTTCCATAATAACTTTCTGTTCCCTTATTCATTCCAAACTTTCAACATTTGAAATCAAACCTAACCAAAACACAATGTTGTTGTAAATTATAATAGCAGACCTCACAGGGGAACACCATAAATGTTGGGAACAATACTGGGCGTCACACGGAGGCACCAAAATGTAGGGAATCTACTGGTGATACTGTAAAAGAGGGGATACTGTTTGTTGTGATCTAGGCACCAGTGCTATGTTTTACATGGCGGCACCATTTGTTGGGACTTAAGCCTTAACACGAGCCTGACCTAGTAATAGATCTCCAATTAAAGTATCAAATTGAAATAATTAATAATAATTATTAATAATTATTAATTATGTTAAATAATATGACTTTATTTACATTAAATCACCTCTTGGGGCACCATACCCAAAAAAGAAAAAATGATAGCCAGTTAAAGATATCAGTCTCAAAAGGTTCACTACACCATCAGTTTTGAATTTAGATTAATAATAAAATGAATAACAAAAACCAAATTTAATAGTAAAGCCTGAAGGATTTCAGAGTTCTTCACGTATTCATTCGTATTCGACTATTCATTCACTCTTGTGCAACATCAAACAGACAGCAGGTATGATTCCAAATATATTTATCCATAAAGGAAGCAAAGCTAAACAAGACACACAAATTCCAACTAACTAACTAACTAACTATACAAGCTCGGTGTGCTTGCCGTGGGGTCAGGAGGAAAATAAACAGGACTTTGAGTTGCCTCTTTGGGTGTAGCTCTGTTGAAAGTCTATTTGTAAATGAGTCTATGTGGATGTGATATGTGTTGCAAAGGGTCTGGATTAGTGCAGAGGATGTTTAGTTGCATGCAAGACTCTGTCTGAGAACAGCATTAGCAAACTAACCTCACTTAACTTTGGCAAAGCCAACTAACCAAAAATCTAACTGCAAACAATCACAACAACCACTCAGTAAACAGCATTAAATCACATACAAGTTAAACAGTCTTGCTTAGCCTGTACAGCTGTGATAAAGCTATGCCCAGTGGTTACTTCACCAATCCTTGAATGGATGGAGGGAAGAGTTGGTTTGAGGGTTGTTGCTTTTTTTAGCTGGCAGGGGAAGGCTGGAAAGACCTCAGGTTCCCAGCTCTCAGAATGTAAACCACTTCTATATGGCATATTCTAGTTATTCTTACTTGGACACATCCAACTGAAGGCTGGCAAACCACCCCTGCAGGTGCCACATATGCTGTAAGCCCCAAAGATACCATTGGATGGGCTGTCGCCATGAACCCAAGCGCTTGCATGATGGTCAGTGCCATCCCTGTTACACCAAACAGCAGTTTGCAAACTGCTTGCTGCAGGGTCGTCCATCTCTGTTCTTATAGAGTCGCCTGCAGACTGCATGTGTTGAGCACAATCCCTGGATACTCCACCCATGGATGTGGTAGAGGGCTCCTCTTCCAGTTCATTGCAAACCTCAACTTCATTAGGTGTAAGATGAACTGGACTGTCTGGAACATAGTCAGTTCCTTGATAAGTATCAATATCCAAGATAAAAGAAGACCCTCATGCCATGGTTGTGCAGTGACTGATGCGCCTAATCAAATAGGGCAAAAAAGACACTTGTGTTCTTTCATTTATTTATCTATATATGTTGATCAGAGCTGACGTATAGGTGATATTGGTCTTGCAAGAACATATCAGATCACAGTGCTGTTGGGATTCACTGGGCCACAGATATTTGTCACATGTTCAGATCTAAACTGGACATGTGAAGGCTTTTCCTCTGGGTCTTAGAAATGGTGGCCGACACTGCATGTTCTTTGATCATCAAACAAAGGACAGCCATTTTGCCCTCATCTCCACAGGATGCCTCATTGTTTCACTAAAGTGAGAGTCATGCCCATGGACACAGTTTCCAAACTTGATTGGGCAGTGAATTGTGACTCTGTGATGTCATCAAGCCAACTTAGGGAGAAGTTTCTACTCTCCATCCCCCTCTTGGCCTGAACCTCTGAAGGGGGCTCATGCTCCTAAAACTCTGATGGCTCTTTCTCCTGGGCCTTGACCTAGGTAGGACATAGGCAGGAAGACCTGCTGCGCCCTTCCCCTATTCTCTCACTTCTGCATGCTCACAGCAGGAGCTACAGCTTCACTGTCAATGTGGTCTTATCCCAGCAGACACAGAACCTGTAAACCAGACAAGTTAATGTGCCAAACACAAGGTTTAAAACTAACTTTCTAACAAAATGAGAACCAAGCTGAGTTAGCACCAGACTTCTAACTCTGCAAGGATATCAAGCGACCTGTCTCCTCAGATCTGCACCTCTGGAGCAAGGAAACAGTAAAGACTGCATCTGGAACACCAGTTCTTTCCAATCTTCAACTGCCACCAGCATGCCACAGCATCTCTTTTTCCCCATCATCTACTTAAGGATTGGTAACATAACCACTGGGCATAGCATTATCACAGTTCAATCAGGAGAGACTTGTTCTATAGTTAAAAGAATATTATTTAACATGCACACATAAGAATGAAAAATGTGAAAAGTCTTCAGGGATTAGAACTCCTCCATCCCCCCTCCTTACCAGGAGGCAACAAGCTTCTAATAAGATAAGTGAAGCGAAAATTAAAGGGGAAATGCATAGCTAGAGAGACACGCATAAAGCCAAATGAGAAAAACTATGACATGTATATCTGCATAGTTGAGTATATGACTGAAATAAGCCCTGAATGAGATAGTTTAACTCTGATGAGAAACGTGTGTTAGGAGTAATTCTGGAATGACAACTAGGGAGCCACTATCCAGTAGATAATGATTGATGCAAAATAAGCATTGAAAAGGAAAGTGGCAGTAGGGAAAGGTGTTGACGTCTAATCACCAAATAATATAAAAGCAAGAGATGAAGTAAGCTGTGACAGCAAAAATAATGGTGATATGCCAGAAAGGAAGGCTGAAAAAAGTGCATGGGTCTGCAGACCATTGGTGCCTATTTGTTGAATTTAATCAAAGGTCAACAAAGACCAAATGAAATCAAAGGTCACGAGAACAAACAGAAATTAAGGTCAGAAGACCAACCTAAAATGTAAAAAACAAACAAAAAGGTCCGAGGTCCGACGACCAAACATAACTTAAGTCAGCAACATAAAATAATGGTCTGATGACCAAACTGAAAATATCATGACTGGTGTGAGTACCTGGTGACCTAGGAGACTATAATTAGAATATAATAAAAGGTCATAACACCAAACAAAAACTAACGTCATAAGACCAACTTAAACAAAATGATGAAAGTAAAATAAGGTCCTGCGACCAAACAGACATTAAAGTCAGCAATGACAAACAGAAATTAATGGTCCTAGGACCAAACAAAAATACCATGTATGAGCATGAGGTCCCGCAGACCATGGCTGCACAAGGTGGGGTCCTAAAGATCATGTGTAAAACAAACCAAAAGGTCAATGAAGACCAAACTGAAATAAAAGGTCATAGACTGAACAGAAACTAAGGTCATAAGACCAACTTAAATAAAATGATAAAAGTAAAGTAAGGTCAGACGACTAAACAGAAATTAAGTTAACAATGAGAAACAGAAATAATGGTCCTACGACCAACAAAAAATAAGTGTTGCATGGGGTCCCACTGACCACGTATGGGCATACAGCAAGCGGCCCTGAAGACCATAGGTGTTTGTGCATAGAGCATGAGGTCCCACACACCATGATTGTGTATTTTGCACAGTTGCAAAAGACCGTGTAAATTGAGTGAACAGCATGATTTATGCAAACAAGGAAATAGAATTGAACCAATAGAATTAGATTAATGTATGACCAACTTGAATAAACAAGTACAGCAAAATAGGCCCCAAGGCCAACAGATAATAAATCAGCATAAATAAAGCATAATAAAGGTAAGTTGATGTCAGTTGCTTATGCTTTACACAGATACAGTCTTGCATGCAATTAAACTGTACTAACTCAGACCCTTTAGCAACCCATATTGCATACACATATACTCACTTACAAAACGGCTTTCAGCATAACTACACTCAAAGAGGGGACTCAGCATTACCACATCATCTCCTTTGTCTTAGTCCTGACTGATGACATGGTCAGGCAAAACCTCCCCTGGTCTGGGCCAGTGCCCCCGTAACTCGGAGTCTGGACCACCTTGTGGCCCCCCTGCCGAAGGGCAACGCGGAGCGCGGAACTAAATCGTCTCAACAGGTTGCCGGTCAGACCACTTAAAGTGCCGCACCCACCGAAAACATCACTTGAGAATTGTGTGGCTGTATTTAAGACAATACCATTGAAGTAAGCTCTGAACAGTAAAATTTTAGAGAATAATTCCAGGGGGGGACAAGGAAAAATAAGTTTTAGCCTGTCTTTTATACAGCATCTTTTACCGCAATTTGACGCTTTAATCTTCTCTCTATCTCTCCATTTTACCGGCAGTGAGATCATAACTTTAAAAAATGTTTGAAAGAAAAGTAACCAAAGAAAATGTGTAATACTGAATATTTCGTTTGTTTACAAGGTAAACAAGGAATTTTTAAACCTGTTTTATTGACCTGTTCATAATAAATTACTTTTTTTGGACTTTAAACATTTATCTCGGCATTGCAAGTTATTGATAACGAGAGTCAAGACTCAAGCCAGCAGCAGCCACATGTAGAAAAGTGGATATACAGTGAATGTCTATACTTAGGAGAAATGGCTTAACAACTAAACATTTCCTGCAGTTAAACTGGTAAACTGGTTCATAAACAGTGTGCTGTGAGATCTGCCACTGCACACCTCACAACCATGCATATAGTCGCGCGTAATGACTGCTCCTCGTTGGTTAAACTGCACGTCTTTCATGTTTGTCTCACCGACAGGTGGAGAGCCTACAGACAGGTACCCATTAGATACGAGCCGCTCCACCACTGACTGCTCTTGTCCTGTCCTCTCCCTCTTCTTTCTCTCCTGTCCTCTCTGACTATCACTAAACTCTGAGCTTAATCATTAGCTTTTAGCTTAGCAGCACTTGTAATTGAGTAGGCTTTTGAACAATGCAGGAGAAATGTTGCAGACAGTTTATATCATCAGCCTGGGCCTGGGGCTTGTTGTAACAGTAAATGGGATGTGTTGTAACTTGTGTAAGTTAAACTGTGTCTGTGTGAGTGTACATCTTACCCCGTGATGCGCGATGTGGGCACTAACGGCTGCTAGCCCCGCCTGTTGGAAAGAGTGTGGGATATACCACTACTAGGAATGGGGGGGGGGGGGACTAAATATTTTAAGATTTAAATAGCACATTATTGCGCGATTATAATGAGCACTGCTTACATTGTGCTTTCAATAAATACTACTGCATTGTTGAAAAATTATTAATTGTGTCTCAAATTATTCTAGGGGGGACAGCTTTACTGGAGGGGGATTCATGTCCCCCCTGTCCCCCCTGTCCCCCCTGGGATTTCCGCCCTTGGAGTTATTATTGCTTATAGGAGCATTATAAGCACTTAATCAAAACTTTGGTAACAGTTTATAAACCTATACTAAATATTAATAAGATGTCTATTTACATTTATTATAATTTATGAGGGTTAATTATAGAATAATAACCACATTTATTACTGGTTTATAAGACACTATAAGACCCTATCAGATGAAATTAATAAGGTGTTTATTAACATTAATGAGACTATAAGAAGTTAATAGAAATGCCATATTACGGTTAATAAATGTTTAATTATGCACTTAATAGTAAATAATGATCCTTTGCAGCTACCTGATTTAAAGTGGGAACAGTGTTGTATAAAGGTTAATAAATTATTAATATGCACTTATTAACAGCTCATAATGCATCTTTGCAGCTACTGGATCTAAAGTGGGAACAGAGTCGTATACAGATACATAAATCCAGATATCAATCATTATTTCAACATTAAAGAATTCTGATGCGTTCTTTTCACTCTAGTATGTTATTATTTTCTTTAGTAAAGGATCATGAGAATCTCATTCTCTCAAAATGGCATACTAAGACAAACATGTGTTATTTGAACTTAAAAAAATTGAGTAGATTGATTAAGAGTTAGCTGCTTTATTCACTCGTGATGAGACCTCAGCTTACCAGTGGTGGTGAAAATACAACATAAGGACATATTTCCTTTTCATATTGATTTTTAATGCAACCACTATTGTCAAAAACAGAAAAAAGGCAAAAAAGAAAAAAAGTGAGTGCTGCACTGGGTCAAAATTGTCAGGAGACAAAAAACTGCTCAGGTGCTCTTCAAAGACAGGGAATGAAATAGATGTAATAAAAACAGGAGGACTGTCCTGATTGTAAACCGAAAGTTTCAAAAAATGTTCAAAAATGCAGTCCAAACTGAAAAGTCCAAGGCACTCCGTGGTAATATTAAAAATCCTTTATTTAAACACAGGGATATCAACGCGTTTCAACTGTTTTTTTTTGCTGTCCTGAAGTTGTCCCAGACACATCATCTTTGTGTCCCAGTAGCAATTTTTATAGTCCCCAGGACGTCAAGACACCGTTAGTTTTCGAGCCCTGAGAGCATATTAATAATTTATTAACCTTTATAGGACACTGTTCCGACTTCATCGTTATTAACTATTAATAACACCTTATTAATTTAATCTGATAGGGTCTTATAAACCAGTAATAAATGTGGGTATTATTCTATAATTAACCCTTATAAATCATAATTAATGTAAATAGACATCTTATTAGTTAATATTTAGGATAGCTTTATAAACTGTTACCAAGTTTCTATTAAGTGCTTCTAATGCTCCGATATGCAATAACTGTTAATTATGCTATTATTTACACTTATATAGTCTTATTAATGGTAATAAACATCTTCTGTCTTATAAGTGGTCATTAACTGTTAATTGGTGCTTTTTAAGCATTAATGCTTATTACAGTACCTTAATATAAAGTGTTACCACTTTTTCTTTTCGTATTTTATATTGTTTTGCGTATCTGTAACTGTGTTTGTGAGTGAGAGAGTTTTAAAAGAATACTTTGTCTGCACATGATTTAAAATAAAATAGCTCTCCAGAGGCAGATCAGTACGTTAGTCATTTTTCTTTTGATTACTGAAATGTTTAACCACTAATCCTTAGCCGTATTTTAAGTATAACCTTTTACCATAATATACCACTAGTGTTTTTATCAGTAAAAATAGTACATTTTTCACACATAAAAAGCACAAAGATGTTGAAGGCATATTCTGCCATCATAACTTGGCTCTCAGAATTCACCAGATTGATGCCTTTAAATCAAATACAAAATTATTCATATTGTTCAGACTAAGATATTTGACCCTACTTGTATGTGCCCCTGTATCAAAAGGACTGGCCCTAGCTTGAAACTGGCCTAGAACCGCCACTGCACATACTATCAATATACAGTGCTCATGAGTGGATACAGAACCTTTAATTCCTCTCATCTCCTGAATGTTTGGTGAGGGGAAAATAGACATGTATTTGTCAGTGAAATTCAGTTATGGCTTTTGGTTTTGTGTAAAACCAAAGATTTTCGGCAGCTCCATCTGACCATACCCATGAAAAATATGTGGGGGTGCCACTGGTGAACCCATAGTTATAGCTGTCACTAGATATGCAATTTTCTTTTCCAATATGCCAAATCTCATACTGTTTTGAATTCATTCTTACTGCATAGTGCAACAGAAAGACATTTCAGCTTGACGACACAAGATTTTATTGAATCAAAAAACAAACTGTGGCGAGGAGAGGAGTAGGAATAGTAAAGCTAAGGTTGTCGACAACGCAACCCTGGGAATTGCGCCCAGAGAATTATTTTTGCACTACAAGGCACACAGGTACGTTACTGAAGAGGCGTGAGACGTGGTTCCAATTGATAAAAAATACGTTTTATTAAACAAACTGGGTAAAAGCCGTAATTAAAATGTCACATAGGGAGGGGAAAAAGAAACTAATCAGGGCTGAGGCCTAGTTGATGGACGGGGCCTAGTGCAGGGGAAGGATCCACCAAAAAAAAAAAAAAAACAGAAGTCAATTTCTATCACCAGACACACATGGCAGACACACACTCAGTGAAGTAACCCACTCCCAGGAACACAGCAGACAAGACAGAAGGGTGCCAACACCAGATCACCAACACCGCCACCACCGGCCTCCAGCCACTGAAAAGAGGGGGAAGATAAAACAAATTAGTGGGGTTGCAACAAAAACACAAAGCACAATCTAACAAAATTGTAATTAAAGGGGCAGGGCACAAACTTAAACTTAACAAAATATATCAACCAATAACTACCCAATTCGGTTTCAAACAAATATAACCCAAACAAAAAGGAAAATAAAGAACAGAAAAACAAGACTTTCCTAAGAATTTCCTAATTGCATAGAGAACCTTTCAAATTAATTCAATTAATTAACAAATGAGTTACCCAAACAGACCGAATCAAGTTCAACCCAAACAAAACATACAAATAAACCTATACAAATAACCAAAAATAATGGTGTAAATCCACACTATCACACATGTATTCCATATAAATAGAGAACCGTGCCCCGGCGTGCGGCCGAGCAACTGCCCGCACCAGACGTTGAAACAGAGTCACCAAGGGTCTATTTTGTTTAAGCAGAGCTACAAAGTGGTTTAATAGACCGCCGCGTGGCGCCGTGCCATAAAAGCGAAGCCGCAGCAGAGACACGCTGCAGACGCGGTGGAGACAAAGCAGCAGCCACAGCGCAGACAAAACAGCAGAAGCAGGGGAGACAGCAGCAGCCGCAGTGGAGACAAAACAGCAGCGCCCCAATAAGCTGGTTACAGTAATTCCTAATCAAGAAAAATACTATTAGCAATATTAAGTACACTGATGATGACGCGGTGCACGTTATGCTACACATACCTTTTTAGCAGCGATGGACACACTCACGAGAGGAGGGAGGGAGAGAGGACCCCTGGCAGCCACCAGCATTTACCTGTGATCACACTAGCATTAGCCACCGGATAGCATCAACCATACCGCAGAGAGAGAGAGGACACCTACCACAGACACACGCAGCAGCGCATACAGGGGGGGCCGGAGCAGCACACAGGCAGTCGCCCTACAAAACACCAGTGCCTTAAGCACATTTAGAGACACAAACAACCAGCGAGGTGAAGCAGCATGCAGTCATACCTGTCGGATCAAATGACCGCTGACCCGGAAGTGACAGAGGTGACAGAGGCGCAAAGGAAGAACTGGTGGGTGAACTGCCGCTTTTATACTGGCCCACCTCATCAGCGGCCACCAGCGGCGCTCATTATAAACAGTGGCAAATCACAAAGGATAAACACCTCTATGCTGCTACAAAACAAACACACACAAACACAAAAATAACATTCAGAACACTGTAAACTTTTATGTATTCAGCCTCTTCCACAGAACTGGTTATCCCACTTCTCCATTTCATCAGTGGCTAGAAGTTTACATTAGAATTCAAATGCTGGTGGATGGATATAAGCTTGCTATAAGCAACAAATGGCCTGTCCCCCCCAGCCACTATGCTCAATTGTTGCATGAAAATCATTTCATACATCTGCAGAGCTACTCTTCAGGGTAAAAATGCAATAATTGAATTATTTAAAAAATGAAAAAGGACACTGGTGATGTTCATGGAAATAAAGAAGTAGTCTTCAGCTTATGATCACCAAGTCTCTTGTGCATTGCAATTGCTTTAAAATAATCGTGAAGTTCTGTGGCATGGATACTAAGCATAATAACTGATATCAGACATAATGCCAACATTAAAACAGTAAGTAGGGTATATAACTCTAACCTTATTATGCTTATAGAGACAGCAAAGCTGGTGTTAAATAGAACATAGAATTTGTAAATCTCATTCTATGTTGTAAACATGAGCTTTCTAACCTTGTGACAGTGCCATTCTTACAACTGCTAACTTAGTGAGAGTTAGAGGCTCTATATAGTCAGAATAGGCAAATGCTATCACAGCCAGCATCTCAGATGCTTTCATTTGGTACTGTGCTATTCTATCAACATTGTCTGCAATTCCTTTATACTGTACTTAGGAAGCTACAGATTACTGCTTCTTTAAAAGACTGACTTTGTGTCTGTGAAAAAAAATCAACATCTGCTTCAGACAGGTCAAGACTAAATGCATATAATAATGTGGGATAAACCCATATAGTGTCAGCTTTTTTTCTGAGAAAGTAAGTTGTTATTTAATAAGGTGTACCGTTACCATTCACCACAAAAAGTCGCAAAGGCGATAATATTTGAAGTGCAAGTGCTTTGTACTTTAAACTGTATCCTGGGAAAAAAAATAACTTCTTGTATTTGAGTTCATTATTAGCCATTTTTTCTTAGTAATTGAACATTGCTACTACTCTTAACCTATTTTTCTGCCTGTATTTTTGTACTGTACAGAGAAGATTGATTAATTCTGTCTTATGAAACTAAGTGCAGGTTTTATGACTCAATGCCACGACCCATGATCGCTTTCTTTGTGTTCCTCTCTGGTCTCAACAGGATAATGTAACATTTGGGTCCAAACAGTGACACCAAGAGGCCAAAACTGGATGCTAGGATGGCAAATACCTCAACTGCATCTGCATATTTGCCTGGTGAACTGACATAAGCAGGGACAAAGGCCACCCACACTGCACAGAAGATCAGCATGCTGAAAGTAATGAGTTTGGCCTCATTGAAAGTATCTGGAAGATTCCTGGCGAGAAATGCAATCAGACAACTGAGGATGGCCAGTAAGCCAATATAACCCAGTAACACTCCAAAACCAATTGTGGACCCAACTACACACTCATAAACTATCTTGTCATTGTGGTATTGAGTGTTTTTATGAGGAGCTGGTGAGGAAGAGACAAGCCAAGCAGTTCAGATTGCTTCCTGAATAGAAGTAAGAACCAGAACTGTTCCTCTCTGCTGCAGTGGTCCAAACCACTTCAGATGGGCTCCACCTCCTGGCTTGGAGGCCTTGAACACAGCCAGAACCACAATGGTTTTCACCAGGATGCATGATACACAAAGTACAAAGCTGATCCCAAATGCTGCATGTCTCAGTTGGCATGTCCACAGCCTGGGACGTCCTATAAAGAGCAGTGAGCAAAGGAAACATAATTTAAGAGACAGCAATATCTGGAAACTCAGTTCTGAATTGTTTGCTCGTACTATAGGGGTGCTACGATTATTGATAAATATTCCCATCACAATAACACATATAAATGTGCCCAACAATGAGGCAGTTGTCAGGCAGATACCCAGAGGCTCGTAGTAGGAGAGGAACTCTGTTTTCTTAGTAACACAGTGGTCACGTTTAGGGCTGGACCAGAAATCCTCTGGACAACTGGTGCACTCCATGGAGTCTGTGAAAATTGGTAAAGTGTTGAGATACATGTTAATATCATATCTCGAAAGTGCAATAATCAGAAGTGCAATATTTAAAACTGTATACCAACCAGTCTTATTAGTGATCTTTCCCTCAGAACAAGGGATGCAGTCAAAACAGCACTCAGGTTCTCCCTTCTTTCTGGCCATGCGGGTACCTGGAGGACAGCTCTCACTGCACACTGACCGGGGTGGCTGTAGATAAAAAAATAAATATGTCTTATTCTACTCACATTGACTCTGCTATAATATGTTATCCATGGGACACTAAAAAATCAGAAGTAACCTGTTTGGTTTCAAAGTTCCAGAAAATTTTGTCTTCATGAAGTGTGAGTTCTTCACCTTTGGCTGACTCTTTAACCTCACCTACATTCTGAACTTTAGTTTGTCCATCAGGGAGCCACAACCAGTTCATGACATCATATATTGGTAAGACATCACCATTCTCATCAAATGACACCTGATCACCAAACGGTGTGGTGAAGTTGACCTTTTCCAAGTAATACACAAGCTATGGATATCAGAATAAGAGACAGAGGAAGACCAGTAATGGCAACAATGTTATTATGACCATTGTGAACACAGTGAAATCCAGTATTCAGTAATCAAACTGCATACTGTACTTATGAACATATGAGCACTAACAGTCCGTTCAAAGCATTTCTTTTATAGTAAAGTCACGTCACTGATACTATTGTATACCTGGTGCAAAGACATTGCTGTCTGTGACTTGATAACACTATAAAATGCTGTCACCCAGTGGTAAGGAAAATCATTTCAGCTATCTGCTATGCGGTCGTGTGTGTATGTGTGTGTGTGTGTGTGTGTGTGTGTGTGTGTGCGTGTGTATAAACTGATATCACACCTGCCATGGTACCAGTCTTTGCAAAGTAGCACAGCTGTTCCTATTGAAAGGTCCTCTCCCTGGCTCACACTGCAGCATGTCATCAAGAGCATATGCCAGGGCATACACAGCCTTGTACACATTATATTCTGGCCTGAGGTTTGAAATGTCCAATAATTCAGTGTCCACATTTTCTAGATCTTCCTGTCCAGTGCATAGTGATCCCCCAGCTTCCATCCAACCTGCTTGAGGTGGTGCAAATTTACACTGAAATGTGTGTTCCCAAAACTTTTTTACCTGAAATGTATTGAAAATAGGGGTGTTACATTAGACAAAAGTCCCGGGTTGGAGTCACGGTTTGGTGTGTGTTCAGTACAGCAGAGAACAAAACAAAACAACAACAAACTAAATTGCAAGGTTAAATTCTCACCAGGATATTTCCATAGCTGTTGTGTTGTAGGTCAGACCGCATTTGTAGCAGAAAGTCCCTGAACCCTGGTATGTGTCCTCGACGGATAGCAATGCCCAGAGTGCCACCCAGGTATGGCATGAACTGAGGAGTCTGAAGCACGGTAGTAAAGGCTTCACTGACTATCCACTGCAGGCCTGTAACATTCTGCCTCACCACCTGTGCATTGCATTGTACAAAATACATAACTTCATACTGTCATGACATGGTTGATATCTTGTCTTACTCATAAACAGGTGCAGTACTGTGTTTTACCCAGTATTATGAACAAAGTTGTGCATGTCATTATAACTGGAGGTCAGTAAAATTTGTCTAAGTTAGTGCCTATAACAAATAAGAGGTGTGATTTATTCAAATAACTATTTGTAACAGGACAATTTTTTATTGTAACTTAAATCCTTTGGTTTGACCATTAAAACATAAAGCTGTATAATAACATGACATTACAATTAAGATGTTTTTCCAAGCCTAACCTCTTTCATGAGGTTTATCATGAGATTTTCATGTGTAAACGCAATGACCACACGAGCTGTAGATTTCCTCATAACATCCACAATCCTTCTTAGTTTAGCTGGATCATTGCCCCAGGGCAAAACCTCTAAGTAGGCCAGACAGCCTCCACCAGACTGGGCCAGGTCAGATTGGAAGGATCGGGCAGCATGGAGTCCATAATCATCATCACTGACCAGCAGACCTGCCCAAGTCCAGCCAAAGTGCCTGAGAATCTGAATCATAGCACGCACCTGAGTAAATACAGAGCGGAGGGATTAGTGCACAGGCTGGAATAATGTTAGAGTGGAAAAGCTGCTAAACAGGTTTCACAGTGGATCATGTTTAATTATTGTCTTTCAGCTTTGTTAGCTGAGACCAAACAGGTCCAGTGATGCAAAGAATGTGACAGATTTTCCACAAAAGGAATATATTGTTCCTTTCAGTACAGGGAAGTTATTTCTTAAGAATGTCTAACTGGACATGCTTTTTCAAATGCATTTGTATTTTGCTGATAGATGGTCACCTGGAAAGCATCACTTGGGATCGTCCGAAAAAACGATGGGAACTTCTGCCGGTCGCTCAGGCACGAACATGTGGCAAAATAACTCACCTGTGAAAGACAGACTGTTCATCCTAAAAAACATTATAAAACTTAATCGCCTCTTTCAGCTTTTGGAGTTTGATTAGTCAATGTTTATAATTGACGTTAAATTTAAAATATAATCAAAATGATCCAAAAGAATTATGGTGGAAAACTTACCATAGGTACTCTGTACAAACCTAAGACAGCAGAGATGGCAATGGAACGTGTAGAGGAAGCATCACCCACAATCCCTACTACCGGAGGGTTTCCTGCACAGGTCTTATCTAATATGAACTGCTCCTCTTGACCACTGGCTAATGACAATGCTGCACGGAATCCAATGCCTAGTGAGAGGCAGTTGTCATAAAGACTGTATCCCAGAGTCACATTAGGCAGCAGGTTGGAATTTCTGTTGATCTCATCAATAGCAAAGGCCATGGTCTGGGCCTGCCTGAATCCTAGAACATCAAAACTAAAAGAAAAATATCACTGTTGGAAAATACAACAACTGATATTTACATGCACAAATACAGATTTTACTAAAAATTAAACAGTTGAACAGCAACAATTATTATAATACTTGAATATGAAATGATTAAAAGAACCAATAACAAGTGATAGGTCTGAAATGGCATAAATACAAAATGTAATCTGTAAGAGTAAGATCTTATTATTAAAAACACATTCAAGTCATGGGACTGATTTCCCCCAGTCTTTGCTTTTCACTATTTCACTGACAGACTGACCTGTGGCAGGTAGGGTGTTGTGGCTCTGAGGTAAAAGACAGGTCAGGAAAGACAGAAAAGATGTGGATCTCAAACAACCCACCCAGAACCACATCTCCTGCCATGTGCATCCCATTTAGATGAAACTGTCCCAGTAACTGGCAGGAGGTGGAATCAAGAGGAGAGATCATGGCATAAGAAAAGTAGAAATACAACAACATGAAACACATGAGTAAGAACAAGTTGATATGTAAAAATGCAGACATGACTTTCCTCCTGTTTACCCCTATCTTACCTGATGTCAACTTCTTTTATCGACTTATTTAATCTTGCACACCACCCATCAGGGCATAAGCGAAGGTAGGGGCAGGACTTAATATTCATTACATTAGAGAATTATTTTGTGTTGAGGCAGAATTAATTTGTGCACTATTAATAATATCCCACCAAAGTCATTTGAAGTTGTGGAATACTCAACCAATTTGTCAAATGTTTGTATTGCATGTTTCAGCAAACCACAGATGTGTAATATTTGTACATGAATATCGAGCACATATGTTGAAACTTTATGTTTCAACAGCGCTATGGTTAACATGATGTGGTCATGCTAAGGCACAAAAAAACATTTGGTTATATAGTTGGAAAAAGATCATGGTTTGGCTAAGTGGCAACCTGTGGGGATGAAAAACGAAGGCATTGTGGAAGTACCAAAAACTGCAGTTCCTGGAATGGTCACTTGAGGCTGACTCCAAGAGAGCGTCAATTCCAATGGCCACCCGTGGCTACCTCGAGGCTTTAAAAAGTGAGTCCACAAACAAATGAGTGATATCCAACCTGTTCTCATTCAAATTCGTCAAATACTGCTGCTTTGTCCATGGACTTAAAATGCTTTGCACTGTCTTTGCAAAATACATACCTGTTGTCACAGGAAAAGAACAGTGTCTGCTCACTGCATGCATATAGTATTTTTATTATATTATCTGTTATCTGATACGTGTTACTAGTGTAGCATGCTATACACATACTAGCATTCTACATTGACTCAATTCTCACTTCTCAACTCAATTGACTCCATTGACTTATGGTATCATATGGGAAATCGAACAATGGCCTCCCAAGTGAAGGTCTGGCGTTTGTTTGACCGATCCATCTCCCCTCCCACCAACCCTTTATGGAAATTCAGGCTCTTTTTATTGTGGTAGTTGCTGGTGGCATCAGAAATAGGTGCCTTCTTGTGCATATGTTACCACCATTAAGAGTATCTTGGGGCATCGGTGACTGACGCAGACATCCACTGACAAAGCGTTGATATTAAACGAGAGCAGGTGTGACTGTGGGCATCAGAAATAACTCTCACCCAGTGAGTATCATAATGCCCCGAAAGGTGCCCCTCTATGTCAGCATCTGATGCCAAAATCACTGACAAAGTGGTGATATTTGACGAATTAGAAATGAGAACAGACTGTGATATCAGGGTGTGCATTGTCTTTACACAGTCTATGGTTTTGGCCTAAAAAAACAGATTTTGATGCCACAATCACTGCTGGATATGTAGCAAACCTTAAAACACTAAAAAACATCCACTTTTGGTGGCACAGTAAGCACTGG